CCTAGACAAAATAGCTTGTCTGTAAAGTGGTCACTCGGTGTTCAAAGGGGCAGTGTCAGGAGGACGGAGCCAGGCTCTTTTCAGTGGCATCCAATGACAGGACAAGGAGTAATGGGTACAAGCTGGAACATAGGAGGTTCCACAAAATATTAGAAAAAACTTTTTCACTGTGAGGGTGCCAGAGCCCTGGCACAGGCTGCCCAGGGAGGGTGTGGAGTCTCCTTCTCTGGAGACATTCAAAACCCGCCTGGACGCCTTCCTGTTTGACCTACTGTAGGTGACCCTGCTCTGGCAGGGGGCTGGACTAGATGATCTTTTGAGATCCCTTCCAACCCCTGACATTCTGTGATTCTGATTCAAGAGGTGTTTCATCTTAACAGTCAACTCAAAAGGATGGGTTTGAGCTATGTACCTTGAACAGGAAAAATATGGGTTTGTTTTTTCTGATTTTTGCAATTTGCTGTCAAACAGGATTATTTGTATCACTTTCTTGGTAGGTGAGAGTAAATCTAGATTTTGACATCTGCTTGGCATTTTTGGGACCCCTTTATACCAACCTATTATTCCACCATATCTCTTAACTGCTGCCTAAACATGCTTTGAAGTAGCTTCTCTTCCATTCACGTTTTGAGGCAAAACTGAGCTCTGAAAGAAACTGAGTCACTTGCTACAGGTATTGCTCCAAAATCATTGACTGCATAACTGTTCGGAACAAGATTTATGCTTCTTGAACCCACTTAATTTGATGTAGTGAGCTCACATTACTGATTGTTTTAATGTTGTTCTGCTTTTAACAAATGACGATGACAAAATTTTACACGTGATTTGTAAGAATGCGCAGTCTTAGTTTTATATATGAAAGCGATGATCTTTGTAACCTCCGTGCATTTATCAGCTGAAGAGGTAAAATAAGCCTTCAAGCTTTAGTTCTTTCTGAGATTTTCCCTCCGGGCGAACATTCACACTAGTTAAGTGGTAAGATGGAAGGAAAACATGGGATGACTGCTGCAGTTTTCCTTCTTTCAGTCAGGGTAGTGTGCATGCACTTCCCCTTCCTTTCTCTTTGACCCAGTTTCTGCTCTCTTTCTTACTCTGACATCTGACCAGACAGTACCTGCTATTCTTTTATGCAGTGTTTCCTTTACTTTGTGAACTCGTCCAAAAGATAGCGAGGGGTATCGGCAGCTTCCATCGTTTCCATTCTTTTCAGTATTGAACTGCACTTCTGAAGAGCATACATGAAAAATACACCAGTGATTTTTACATAGACCAAGGAATTGCTGTTAAACGGTGAATATTTATAGGTTTCTTTGCACTTGACATTATTTTTTTTCCTGCCTAAACACAAATTCTGTATACTTTGGAAAACTACCTGGAATTGTATTGTGGACAGATTTTATAATGGATAAACTATAGTTCTGGTCAAAGATCTGTAGTTCTCCTGAGAACTGAACTTTTCCTGGAAGGAGAGGGGTTCAGTCATTACTAAGGTATTGTCAGCAGAATGGGAAGGCAGAACGTGTTACATTTAGCTCCTAAATGAGAACACTCACTCCCAGGAAGCTCAGCTGCTGGGATTGAGAACCAAATGGAAGAGCTAATCAATGCGTGCTCAGATGGGTTGAGTTTTAGTAGTGTTCGGTGAGTTTGGGCTATTTGATATACCAGCATCTACACTGCAGTCTTTAAGCTCTTGGTTTTTTTCCCCCAAGGGGGAGAACTTAATTCTGAGATTAGGAATCCATAGCTCGAAATTACCAGGGACACAGGTGATTACATCAAAATGAGTTACTATAACTGTGAGAAATAACTCTACTTTTAAGGCAATTCCTTCAAAATAGACAAATAGTAGGAATTAATGGCCTTTACAAAGAGTTTTGTTTTGCTTCAGAATCTTTATAGAAGTATGTGTACTTTACAAAAGAGTGATTATTCAGACAGGCAACTGTAACATATATTTCACTTCAGCTGGTAGCTAATAATACTTCCTAAACCAGAAACTGCCAATTCATCCTAGAATTACTTGTCCCAGGAGGGTTAAAGCATGACAACCAAGTGTTTGGAAGCTTAGATTTTTCTAATGCTTTCCGATGCTGGGCTTTGTTTGTGTATAAGCTGGTGTCTTAGTCTTGGTCTTTACCTTTATTATGTGTCTGAGTTTTGGGGTTTTTTTGTTTGTTTTGTGTTTTTTTTATTTGTCAGTAAAATGCTTCTCCCGGAACAATACTTAGCATTGCTGGAGTTATATTTCTGTTAAATATTCGCTGGAATAGCTGTACTTAAAAAGGGGAATTTGTACTGGGTCCACCTGCGGTGTGAAGAGGAATTCGAGGGTGGGGATGCTTCGACAGAACAAGTAAAGAAATGCAATTTTTCTGTATCGTTAGGAGTTGTTGAGTGTTGCAGCCTGATGCAGGCAAAGCTCCCACAGCTCTGTATCGCCAGGTCCAGTTGGTGGCAAGGTTGATCATATATTCCCAGTAGGCATTGATGTACATATACAGAGGTGCACACACATGCTAATAGAATCTCTGGTGTCTCTGTTTCTCAATCAGAGAAGACTCTGAGATCACTGAGTGTTTCAACTGAAAAGGCAGGACCTGTCCCTGAATTACCTTTTCACCCCTGAGAGGCATTTTTTTGGGAGGAAGAAGGTCTCTGTCCACAGTTCTCTCACGCAGTGGATAAATTATTGACAGTGCTGAGAAGTGAAATCCTGTTCCTGGCACTGCTCAAAGGCACTAAAGTCTCGAGGCAGATGAAGCTAGAAGAAGTGGAGAGGAAAATCACGTCAGTCAAGGATAAATCTTTAATGTTATCTATCCTGTGTTACTTTGGAAACAGAGTGGTCTGAATGGTGTGCTATTCCTCAGGAGTGGTCTCTCTGCTATTTGTCAGCCAGAGTTGAGTTTTCAGTATAGTCTTTTGCAGAAATATGCAAATTGTGATTACTTTGCTTGAAATACCTATCTATAGCAGCAAGCGTGACATATGAAGCATGACACAAAATATCATGTGCACAGTCTATTCAGTGATTCTTCTCAGTTTCAACAGCCTAGTAAACTTCAGAGTAAAACAGACCAGTCCAGCGTGTGATGTGCTGATACTTATTCTCTGGTAGCTGGCGTGCTGAAGTGCTACTCTCGGTGCCCAGCTGTGGAAGTGCAGAAGACTTAATGAGTCCACAGACCATGAGGGAATGGATAAGCAATGTCAGCTCGATTTCCTAGTTGCTGTTTGTGAGGGTGCATTTCCACACAGGATGCAGGCGCAGATAGTTACCAAGCACCACTACTTATTTGAAGTCTTGCATTTCAAAGTCCTGGGTGTAAAGGGTCATTAACAATTAGCGATCTGCTTTCTTATCATGGCAGGGCATGCTGTTCGCTGTTGGTATACTAGGCTTTAAGTCTTTACCGAGATAAATTTTAGTATCATTAAATTCAAGGAAAAGAAAAAGCTGGTGTAGAAAACTTCCAAGGCTTTTTCAAAAAGACCAATACTACCCAGTGAACAGCAGACGGATGTCTGAGCCTTGTGCCTCTGCTCATCCAAGAACTAAGGCAACTCAGCACTTGTGAGGACCTACAAGGAAACACTAGAGGAATTCAGAGTTAATAATCTCAATCCACAGCATTTGGAGGGAAAACTTTTTTTACTGTGAGTGTGACTGAGCCCGGGCACAGGTTCCTGGAGGGATTGAGAAATCTCTGTCCTTGGAGATATTTAAAAGCCATCTGGACATGGTCCTGGGCAACCAGTTCTCAGTGGCCACGCTTAAGCAGGGGGGTTGGACCAGATGACCTCCGGAGATCCAACCTCAGCCACTCTGTGATTCTAGGAAGGACTGAATTCCAGAGCTTGCCAGGATGGTTCAACACCAACTTAGACATGGGATTCTTTCTGTTTGCCCATGTCTTGTTGTCATTATCATGTCAAGTGATAATCCTTTATTGCAGAATTGCCTGTAAAAGAATGACTTGAGGACTCGTTTGTCCAAAAAAAAAGCCTCAAGCAAATAGGATTAGACCTGGATAAGAACAGACCCTCATGTCACTATGAGATTTCACTATAAGATTCCTGATTTTACTGGCTCTAAGTGTTTTATGCTGTGGTCACAAGTTCAGCTTTCGGTTTGGAGAGCAGAGTGGTTAAATGATCGTGGTCCTCCTTTTTCTGCCGTGCTGGCTGTGGCACTGCAGTTGTTTGTGACTGTGGTGTGATGGGCCGCAGGGCACGCAGTTCTCAAGCTCGGTGAGGAAGGAGCAGTGCTGGTGGTGACTGGGTGGGAGGCTGCGTTTCCTTCTTGCAGCATGTTATTCCTGGATGCCAGTCACACCCAACTGGCCATCCTCGATTCCTCCAGCATAGAACATCTTCTGTCAGAGATGAAATAAGAAATGTATTTGGAAAAAAAAAATAAAAATAGAAATCAAAAAAGAACAACCTGTCAAGGTCCAGGGATGGGCCTGATGTGCAAAAAAAAAAGATAAAGAAAGGAGTCAAAGATCTTTTAAAAGTTATGGCTAACAAGGAAAAACGGCATGGCAAAAACCATATAAAGCGGCTAATCCGTATTTTTAAGGGAGCAGGGGAAGAGAGAACAAAGCATGCAGAAAGGGAAGATGGCATCGAGGGCAGATGTATAAGAACATGATTTTTTCCTACAGGACAAAACTCTGAGATCTAAACAATTCAAACCTACTTTTCTAGTCTTGCTTTGTTGTACGAGCAATTGCTTTTGTTACTTCAAATAGGTTGTCTGGTCATGGAGACATCACAGAGATTATTACTGATGTTCACAAGTGAGACAATATGTCATGGGGCTCGTGCCATGAATAATGTATGTAGTCCTTGTTAAAGGCAAAATAGCACTGAGTAGGAGTTGTAGCACTAGACTGCAGCAGTTTATTTCTGAGATAAAATTCAATTTAATCTCTGAGGAAATTTGCCTTTTTCATTCCTAACTTTTTTCGTTTGTTCGTTTTTTTTCCCCATAGCTTGCGCCTTCTCTCCCGTTACAAGAAGATTTCGTTTACCACTGGAAGGCAATCACCCATTACTACATAGAGACATCAGGTAAAAGAAGAAAAGATCCTGGTTTTGTCTCTTTATTGAGAAACCTAGAATTTCCAATTTCAGTGTTGTTAAAAAGGAAAGATGAAGAAATACTGAAATGAGTCATGTCGTTTATCAAAATACGAACAATAATAATGAGTAATTAAAAGTATTGTGTACTTCCATTCATCCTTAAAAAGTAGACATGAAAAATGATTGAGGGATTGTCTTCTTTCCTGAGTACCTTGTAGAGAATTCTACCTTGTCACATCCAACCTAATTTCAGTCTTCACATATTCCATTTAATCTAAACAGACAACTACGGAAATGTAGTCTCTGCTGTTAGCCTTCTTATTATTTTGCATTAGGGATTTTCTTTTTCTTTACAGGACTTTAACAAACGTAATTCTGTGGTCATTGATTTTACCAGACACACATGAATTCTGTGTGCTCAGTATTAGGTATTTTTTCTTTAATGTCTTTTCTCCATGAAAGGTACTTTGATAACATAAATCTGAAAGGTGAATTTGTGAGCAAACTTAGAACACATTTGATTAAAAATTATCCAGACCTTTTTCTGCTCTTCTAAAACATGGCTATTCTGATGAAATATAGCTGTAGTTGCTTTTTCTTAAACTTTTCCTGGGTTTCCTACAACAGTTATGTGACATTTAAGTTTTCTATTTTTGGTCCTGCTTATTAAACTATTGTTTTGAAAGTGAATGCGAGCGTACTTTCCTCAAGTTTATTAGTTCTGTATTTCTGCTAGAGTAGCTATTGAATGTGGCAGACTGGTGATCTTGTTTATATCAATATTTACTCTTAGAAGCTGAAACTTGACCCCCAGTTGTAAATCCCTGTCTTTTGGAACGCTATGTGATGTTTCCTAAGGGAGAAATGACAGGGTGGTAGGGGAAAACTGACACCTGCGATTACGTGGTGCAGAATAAAAGCTGACCTCTTTCCCAGACTTTCAGAAGTCTTGTGAAAAACAGGTTTCCACTCAGTAGTTATTTTTCTGTCCTGTGTGGTGGGAGCACAATAATGCCTGGGAAAATCAAATAAAACACTCCAGGCTAACTGACGGTTGTGGTAGAGACCAAAGTCACTCTGACATGGCAGTTTTCCTTTGTGATCTTGCTGCCATTTGCATGCAAGTGACAGTTATTTTTAGATTATTGCATAAGAAGTAGTAAACATTTCCCTAGTAGGATAGTTGTTCAAGTAGAATTTAGCTGGGGGGGAAAAAAAAAAAAAGGAAAATCTCCACATGTGGACGTGCTCTGCAACATGTTAATGCCAGCTCCGACTGCCAGCGGCCTAAATCCACAGCAGTTTCATGACTTCAGTATAATGAAATGAGTCTTACCCTTTCCTGCGTAAGGTTTGGCAGAATGCTGTCTTAACATAGGGAGGATGAGAGACAAATCAAAAAACTTTTGAAGAATAAACAGCATAGAGTTTGGATTTTCTTTGTTGTTATTATTAGAAAAAAACCCATTTAGTTAGTTACCTAGTTCGGAAGGGAGCTGAGCAGCTGCAAATTAAGCTGATGTTGGAGGCTATTTTTAGATTTCAAAATACGATGTGAAGAGTCAAAGAGGAAGTTACCAAGACAGGGTGGATACTAACCAGAAGACTGAGAGCTGAACCTCTCTCTCCCTAAACTTGGTTTCTGACTGTGAAAGTTTTTCTTTTTGACTGTGCAATTAATGCATTTTTTGAAATTTGGCATTTCAACTTTTCCACTTTGCAAGGTTAGATATCTGCCTAGTGCATATTACAGTTTACATTTCCAGATATGGTTCTGAAAATTTGATTTAAGTAATTTTAAAAAAACTTGCATACCATAAATAAGATTCTTTAAATGAGTGGTCATATTTTTAAGTCTTAAATTTGACACTGCACTTAAGAAAAATGAGGACAATATTTTAATCATTCTTAACTGCACATTTCTTCTATTTAGATGACAAAGCTCCTGTGACTGATACCAACATTCCTTCTCATCTGGAACAGATGCTGGATATTCTAGTTCAAGAAGAAAATGAGAGGGAATCAGGTGAAACAGGACCATGTATGGAGTATTTGCTGCATCACAAGATTTTGGAGACACTCTACACACTAGGAAAAGCTGATGTACGTACTTCTTGGTGGAGATTATCTTTTTGTAAGCTTCTAATAATAGGGACTGAAGTTCTACAGTAGGTGGTAGTGTGGGACACTGAACTCTAGCAAATAGCTGTTTGCTTATGTTACCAATATTTTACAAATAACAGTTTTTTGCAGGTTGATCAAAATGAGACAACCAGTGAGATGCTGAGTAAAGCAAACCCCTGAGATTCATTACTTACCACTATCATGATGTTGACTGTGAAGCTAGAAGCAGGAGAAACATTTTTGTTTGGTCTACAACTTTTCTGGCTTCTACAAGGCAGTATTAATCCTCTCTGACCTTTGTTAAGCCTTGGGAGATTCTTGGATAAAAAGCGCTATATTAAATATAAATTTTGTTTATTGTTCTGAATGTGATGAGTTATTGCTCAGAAAGCCTTCCATGTCAGAAAGCATGAATTTGAGCTGATCACCAGGCAGCTTTCACATCTGACTGAGTCGTTGGTATGAACGCAGCTGTGGCAATGTTATCTGGTTCTTCTCATGTCTGCTCTGTGGCACATGTGAAATGAGCTCCATGGTCCTGGTCCGTTCTTGTGGCTGTCTTGGCAGGCTTATGAGCTGAAGTGTGTAGGGTTGGATGGATCATGAGGTGAGTTAACTTGGCAGCCCTTGTGCTAGAACTTTTCGTATCGTGATGCAGATGCAGCTAGGAAAGCATGGTGTGTCCTGTTCCAAGGACGAGTGGAGCTCTCCCAGGTTTCATTCTCAGTCAGTCTTTTACACGTTATCATGAGTTTTTAATCTACTGAGTTTTACATATATAGACAATGTAGGGTACTAGCTCACTAAGCTTGGGATGTTCCTTGCTCTGGAAGGACCAGAGCTCTGCAACTCCTGTTACTGTACCAACTGACCTATGGTCAAGCCAAGATACCTGAGAAATTGAAAATACTTGCTTAGAAAAAAGCTTGTTCAGTAATCTATGAACTTTGTCAAGAAACCAAGATGAAATGGCGACATATGTGAAGTGAGCGTGTTTCTAAGTGTTGAGAGAAGTCATTCTGCACTCATGCAAATATGCCTGTACAAGCAATTCTTGTACAGCCTGTCTTTATACTTGGCCACTTGTGAGTTGATCCGTAAGGGAACACACAGCTCAGGGCTCGCAAGATGTTCAAAGATCTCTTTCAAAAAGAATAGTACTGTTTCACAGCAATTGCTTAGACTTGTTCCATTGCTGTAGATGGCCCCTGATTGTACATGTTTTGCCATTCTTTTCAACAGATTCCTTGACAACTCAGTGATAATGAGGGATTAGTGATCTAGGGATCATTACATTGAGGGAGAACCATGTTAGGCAGTTGTCATTCCTGGCTGTCGCCACCTGTGCTCTGTTCACCTGTGCAGTGAGCCAGATGAAGGAAATGATGTAGGTTAAAATTAACCTATGGCAAACCAGCATTTATTAACGTGGTAGAACACATCAGAGTTGGGGGGATTTAGCTAGAAACAAAGGTTCATAAAGGACCATGAGCCATCAGATGTTGTCGGAAAGTCCCTTCATGTGACATGGTGCGTGAGGGGCAGTGGAACAAGGGTCTGGGTGTTCCACAGGTATTTGTGATTTGTATTCTGCTGAATCTCAGGGAAAATAGCAGCTTTCTCTTGTCCTGGAATATCTGTACAATTAGAAAAGCTTTATCTGAGATTAATTGCTGATGAATTTGTAGACATTAAGATGTTTATAGTTTATCATTGTGTATTTATATGTACCGAATCACTGAATTGCTAGATTTTGTGGCACAGTAAAAGCAGCTGTACCTGTACAAGTAATTCAGAGTTAATTCCTCTTATCACTGCATTTCCTGGAAAGATTAGTAGAAGTCTATGCTAGAGTGATTAACTGCAAGTATAAATAATTTGAAGAAGAAAATAGCAATGAGATGCAATCTTTTTTTATTGAACTCCATTGATAAAAGTAATGTGTTAAGAAATGATTTTTTGAATACTTTTGAGTAAATTATTGCTGTTTAATTAGCCATTTTGAGTGACAAATTTGCATCTGTTTTTCTCTCCACGTTTATTGTGGTCTTTTTGCTTCAGTGTCCTCCAGGAATGAAACAACAAGTTTTGGCTTTTTATACAAAACTTCTTGGAAGAATACGGCAACCTCTTCTTCCCCACATAAATGTGCATAGGCCAGTGCAGGTACCATTCAAATTTTAAGTAAACTGTATCTTTGTATGACAAGTTTCTCTTTTTCTGGTGTAGCTAACAGTATCTTTAATTCTTTCATTGTCAAATGAATTGAAGAAACTGCTTGAGTGCAGTATCAGTTAATGTATTGATGATTAGAGACTTGAATTACCACTGCTCATAAGTAATGAAAATCTTGCTCATAGCAATCTAAATCTTGAGCAAATGTTCAAGTGAATAATCCTGTATCTTTGTAGTATGTATCTAGAAAAAGAATTCAGTCCATCATTCCTAGAAAAAGCTATGACTTTCTGTCTTAATTGTTTACTTTTCTTTATGACAGAAATTAATTAGGCTGTGTGGTGAAGTTCTGGCAACACCAACAGAAAATGAAGAAATTCAGTTTCTCTGTATAGTATGTGCAAAGCTGAAACAGGATCCATACCTGGTCAACTTCTTCCTCGAGGTGAGTAAATCAGACCAAAATTTGCCAGGTATGTTTACTGCGTCACAGACAAAATCTAAGAGAGAACTGGAGGCCTCACATTGTGCTTCGTAACTTAGTTTTCATTCACTTTGTCATTCTTTTCCTGTTGTATTAGAAGTTTTTTCTTACTTCCAGAGACTTGATGCATCTGATTATTTTTTCTAGAAATTCATTCAGAGCTCACAGATATACCTGCCTGAGGTCCTTATCTTTTTCAAAAGAGTGCCTTTAGCATAGGGGTATGAATAGTAATGTGGAACACTCTGTGAGGGAGACCTGGGATTTCTTCTGTTGTTGTGTCTTTAGCCCAGCACAGGCTAAGGGACAGATTGTACAGGGCATTGAAACCTTGCAAACTACTAAGTGTTCTGCAGGATTGGGCCCTTATTTGGTAGTGGCACATGTGGCCTGGTTGCAGTGCCAGCTCACGAGCTACAATATGGCAAATGAAAGCTTTACTTCCTCCTCAAACTTAACATGTGGCATTGATGGAATCAGAGTGGGAGGAGGAAGGATTTCTAGACTGGCTTTCTGTTCCCATGTAGAAGGAGCATATAGAAGTTGTGATTTATAAAAGTCCATTTAGAAGTGCCTCCTGCTCCTACTGTGATTTTTCGTATGGTGACACAGTAGTTAGTAAGCATGTGATACATGGGTGAAAAGATGTAGATACAGTGTTCTCCAGGAATATTTTACAAGCTTTCCACAGGCAAGATCTGTAACAGCAGAGACTGCTGGACTGCAAAGATATGTTATTTTCCATTGAGGATATGAATATCATTTATAAGTCAGTATTAAAGGATGCATCTTGAGTTTATTTTTACCTTAATAAAATACCACCCTGCTTGCCTTTGTGTATCCACTGTGGTTGTACAAGTAGTAGAAATGGGATAAGGATTGAAAAGTTGGTGTTTAGACGTTAGAACTACTAGATATATTATGTGCAGAATATGGTAGAAGTCTAAGTGAGAATTATTTATAATGTCATTTGTATAAATTGTATGGTTTGAAAAGAACCTGACAACCTCAATCGTAAGAACCACAAGTGTGTTGTCACACATTAGTGTTCTTCCCTAAAATAGCAAGATTACAATATTAGAAATCAGACATGGAAAACCAGGTGATTCCAAATTTCTAAGAGATCTCTAGTTTCACAGACTACTGGCTGTAGAGTTCAGGCAAGCTGAGGAGCGTTTATTGTAGCTCCTGTTAACTTCACAGCATTATTCTAAATGTTGTCAGTTAAACCTTGTGTCTTTACAACTTCTGATAGTTTTTTCCAGGTAAGTTATTTGCAGTGCTGAATTGTCCTTTGTTAGAATAGAATATTCTGGTTGTTCATATCTGTGCCTCTTAGAGGTGCTATTGTTGTGAACTGATTTTGACCTTCAAGTGCATGAAAGGGTAAATTTACAGAATTCTGTGAGGCATGTATCCGTCAAATCTCCAACACTTACAAACTGAGATGCAGATATGTCTCTCCTAAGCAGTCTGTTTGTAACTGTTAGGTTTGCTTCCTTCTTTGTCTTTTCTTGATCAGTTTCTACAGTATTTTACAAACATAAAAAACTGAGTATGTACCTCTTTCTCAGTCATTATTTTATGCAAACTTGTTACTTCATTTTTCCTTATTCATTTATTCCTTAGTTGCCTCATCTCATCCCATTTTCTGTGAGGTGTTCCTTGCAACTGATTGTTCCATGCAAAGGGACACTTGATTCTCCCCATTTCAATTTGTGCTCTAGAGATCTTAAACAAGTTCTAATATAGTGCCCATTAAAAAGTTGTACCTTCGTTTTGTGAAATGAACAATAGCTTCTCTATCCACTTTTACTTTCATGACTACAAATTACCAGCGTCGTATTTCTCACCATGAATTAACTAGAGATTCTCATTAGCTGTGATGTCATTTGATTTTTTCACAGAATTCTTTTTCAAATCTACATGAACTTGGTCATGACATCATCCGCCACAGATTTTGAAACTCTTACGGTCACATATCACGAAAATATAAAAATGTATTTTCATATTACCTGCTCTCTGTTAATGCCGGATTCACTTAGAGGAGCGCTTTGCCTCGAAAGCATTGAATATGTGTTTTATATAACCTTTTCTATTAGGTCATTCAGGCTCCTGTTTTGCACCTTTACAGGAGGCAGGTGAGCAGCTAAGCTGCAGAATTGCATGATTAGACATTAGGAAGCTTAAATACATGCAAAAACTCTGCCTGTGTGTTGTTCAATGTACAGACTGCTCTGTGTCACCTGCCAGTGTAAGGGTAAGGAGCTGTGAACAAATTTCTAGGGGCACTTATACATGTTAGGTCTTCTCATGGATGCCTTAGCTAAACAAACGATGACCTTTCAAATGGTGGAGGAGTCCAGATATGAGGTAATAGGCTGGTGTAAGATAAAATAAGTACTCTATAAAATACTATCCCTTTTCTTGAAAAAGTAGCTTTTCTCTTTCGCAGCCCTGTCTGCTGCTTGAGTAGTTCTGGCAACAGTATATAATCCAGGATTGAAATGCAGTTCCAGCCTTTAGTTCTGCTTTATGTGCGAGGCTCATCTTTGTGATTTGGATATTCCCGCAAGGTGATAAAACATATAGGAGGTTACTGGAGGACTTTAGAAGATTCAGGGATAGACAGACATGGTTCAGACACATGGTTTGGTTGCTTTTCATCCTGAAGTGTTTCCTACTTGAAAAAAAGATATACTGAAGAAGTGATTTTTCTACCGTAGTCAGAAATCATACTTATTTTATAGCGTGCAGTGTACTGCTTTTACCACTGGGTTGCCTCTCCAGGGAGCTGGTTGTGTGAGCATATCACAACATTCGGTACAAATTCCCCACAGCAAATGCACATCAATCAAACCAGCATTCACAGCAGTTCTCTGGTTTGCTGCCTGAGACTGTCATATCATTAGTCTCTGCTGGTTTGTATGTACTAAATGCCATTAACCCCAAATGGTTACTCTTAAATTATTAATGCTTGAGATATATTTGTAATAATTTTGGTGTTATCACAGAGAAGGAGAACCATTTGGATTTATAATCTCGCTGCTGTACTCACTTGAAAACGTGTCTTGTCTTGAAGCCTAGTTTATGGTTCTAATAAAGTGTTCTTCATCTGTGCTCATGCCAGAAGAACACTGAATTCTTGCCTTGCTCCGAGTTTCTTCTTGGTATCACAGAGCACAAATTTAAATGTCTTTTTATGTACTAGAGACAGATTTATGGGAAGACAGATGGGTGGCTTTCTTTCAGGCTAAGTAGCGATGCTCTTTAGCTTCCGAGAAGGTTCTCTGTGATCTTTTACAGTATCTAGTGCCCAGTGGTAACTTCTAGTTCTTCTGTCCATTCGATCTACTCCAATTTTTCTTCATGAGAAACACAGTTTGAGACTACTCTGCTGTCAGACGGCTTTTTCCCTTTTCTGTTGAAGATAAAATCTCAAAAGTTTAGGATGCATTTAATTGTGTGGCTCCAACTGGAAATAGTGTGAATTTCAGCCCTTGACCTAGAACAGGATGTTTTACAGTATGTGCTGAAGTTTTAAAGTGCACTCATAAGGTAGATGAAAAACTTCTGTCAAACAGTGGACCAGTGAAGTGAATGTGTGCCTTCAGTGGTGGAGAGAAAAAAGATGCCATCTCTTTGTAAGTGGCATATTCAGCTTTGAATCAAAATGATACAGGGCTTAAGAGAAATTTAAGCAGATTAAAAAACATTCTAGATTTAAAAACTCCCACGTTCCCACAACCCATTAGATTCTACATGGTTACTGTATCCAGCTTTGTAGAGAACTATTTCCGATGCTGATGTCAAAAAAAAGCTTTCAGTAAATGTCTGCTTCAGGATGAACGGTGATTTCCAACTGTGTAATTCAAAACAAACTGCTTTGCAGAGTAAGTTAAAAGTGATGGCTTCCAAGGGATCGGCGAGTGTAATCACAGAAGACCTGCTGAAAGGCCAAGACTCTTTGGCAGCGGACACGGGACAGCCCGTTCTGCCGGACGAGATACCTGGTGCCTCTGGAGTGGAGCCGATGGAGAGGGGAGATGACCTCCTGCAACAGGCAGATGATCTCTCTTTCAGTCTGGATGAACTCAACGTCACATCATCACCCGAGTCCTCTAGTGTTTCTCCAAATCAAGACTATAATTTAGTAAATTCTCTACTAAACCTCACTAAAAGCCCTGTGAGTGGTTTTCTTGGCTTTTTTTTTTGTTTCGCTTAATGTGATAAAATGAAATAGATTGGATGCTGTGTGAAGTGGGCAGAGGGAGTGAATATACACGTATATACTCACTGTACTTGAACTAAAAAATAAAGCAAAGTTTGTTTTGCAGGTGTTTTTTGTAAATTGGCAAATTTTTTTCCAATTCAAATTAAAGTAAAAATACTATTTTAGGAAATTAGTATAAAGTTTGTTGATGGTAATGTGTTTTTTGCACAATTTTTATAGCATGCTGCATATTCCACAGACAGCCTCTATTGGATAATCATTAGGTTAAATATACCAGAAGAGAATATTAAAGAAACTACTTTCAATGGTACTGACTTAACCAAACGACTCTTTTTCTTTTTTGAATAAAGGCACTGGGCTCTCTCTAGAGGTTTGGTTTCTTTTAAAAACAACTGCTGTATGTCTTGCCCGCCTCCATCCTCAAATTCACACTTAGATTTTTTCAGAAAACCTAAAGGAGAGTTGGGTAAGCCTGTAATTATTACAGCAGTGTTGAGAGCAGAAAACCAAATCTACCCAAGTGTCATGTTATTGTTAAATGATAATTTATATTGTCTTAAGCTATCGTACAGCACTAGTTCTGTCAACCTGAAGGTTGCAGTTGCATTCTTAATATTTGACATGGTTTCAGGTGAGATTCTTTATTTTATACCATCCAGATTCTCTAGAATTAAGTTTTAATGACTGGAAAGGCAGCAGAAATTAATGCATTCACTTACTGTGGGGAAGTGGAGATGTTTTATTTGGGAGATGTTTGCTTCTTGATTTCAAGTGAGCTTCATTCACCCTCTGATTAATTCTTCCATGCCCTTCTGCCAGGACGGCCGGATAGCAGTGAAGGCCTGTGAAGGCCTCATGCTTTTGGTGAGTTTGCCAGAACCAGCAGCTGCCAAGTGCCTGACTCAAAGCACTTGTTTATGTGAATTGTTGACAGACAGGCTGGCCACCCTCTACAAAGCCCTGCCTCAGTCACTGGATCCCTTAGACATTGAAACAGTGGAGGCAATTAACTGGGGGTAAGAATTTTATTTTCATATTTAATACCCAAGGTGACTTTACACCCCTTCCTAAAACTAATCTTCCATAAGTAGATAAGAGATATAAAATATTCACACCCCCATACTGAAGTCTCAAGAGCAGAGCCGAGGTACCAGCTGCAGCAGGGGGGCACAGCTTTGGGCATCTGATGTACCTGTGGTTTCTGACTTGGGGCCAGCTTTGGCTGCCAGTCCCCGAGTTCCTCAGGAGGCAAGTTTTTCCACTGAATTACGTTAGCAGTTTGTGGTGATGTAGCTCTAGCATCACGTACAGATTGTTTTCTTGTTCAGATGTCAAGGATTCAGGAAACATAAACTTTTCACTGTACGCAGTGAGCACTGTAAGCTCCAGCAGGGTGCAGGAAGGGTGTCTTTGATAACAGGCCGATGATGCAAAATTCTTGCAGTAAAAAGGAAGGAAAGAGTTACTGCACAACTAATCAGCATGATGCAGGATATACATGCCTGTTACCCTAACTGCTTACATGTTAGAGTCTTAAAACACTTCCCCATTCTGCCATCATTATTATGAGCTGCTTGTGATCTGTTAGTAGTAAGACAAAAATTAGGTATTTGCAAAATACTTATAAAAATTTCTGGTGATTGGAGTTAGAATGGAAAAACCACAACTTTGAATAGTGGGATAAATAATTGTTGGACTGCTTTGTCAAAGAAAATGGTGAATTTATTTTTCCTTAGAGCATGTTTTTTTTCCTGAAAGATGTAATCTAGTTCAGATATACAGTGTGGTTGTTGTGGGCTTGATTGAGGTCCCTTATGAAGTAGAGAAGAACAGTTGCCTTCATTCTGTGACTCTCTGACAACAAGGAGTTATTGATTTGGCTTCTGTGGTCCGTGTTTCCTGGGAGAACAGACTCAGTGATCAGTTTTCCCTTCTGACTCAAGAAATACTTAACCAGAGTTCTTCTGCCATACATCCTGTGTATCCTTTAGCATGACACCGAAAACCTGTGTAACAATAGCACTGCCAAATTGGCAGAGATCGGCAGAAAAACTGTCTCAACGTTCACTTCATTGCAAGGAGTTCATTAATTATTCTGTTAAGTTCATCAAGGATGAAGTCTGGGATTCTTCTGTTACTTTTTGACTAAATAAGTATTTTTCCCTCTGTCATCTAGTTTGGATTCCTATAGCCACAAAGAAGATGCATCTGCTTTTCCAGGGAAAAGAGCGTTAATTTCGTTTCTTTCGTGGTTTGACTACTGTGATCAACTCATCAAAGAAGCACAAAAGGTTTGAAATGTTTACAGATGATACAAATACATTCAGCAAATAAGTAGTTCCAGTTGTTTCTTAGCTTTTGAGGTTGAGACACACCATTTTGTACTTTTGTTTCAGACTGCTGCCGTTGCTATGGCAAAAGCTGTGCGGGAACGATTTTTCATTGATGTTATGGAACCCCAGCTGATGCAAACGTGAGTAGCATCCTTTAAGACACAGCAGAACAGAATCTGAGTCAAGATGATTTTGTTTTCCAGCTGAAATCCACTACATATCCAACATTAAATTTTTTGTTCAGTTCAGAGATTGGAATCCTCACATCGACTGCACTGTTGCATCGCATTGTTCGTCAAGTAACTTCAGATGTCCTGCTGCAGGAAGTGGTTTATTTTATACTTGGAGAACACAGAGAGCCAGAAACTTTGTCAGACATCAACAGACATCTGTTGCGACACAGGTTGATTGAACACTGTGATCATATTTCTGACGAGGTGAGAAGTGATAGTGATATAATAATGTCTGCTGCCCAGTTGTATTTTGCATAGAGTCTGTAAAAACATCTTCTCACGGTCTTTTCCTATTTGTGTCAGCTAATTTTTTTTTGCCTTCTGACTGCCAGCCCTAAAATTTCCCTTTATAAAGTCAAGCTGTTTTTTCCACCTAGCACATTGTTTCCATTAATAAAGATTCTTTGTCAAATTTACTTGCCCTCCATGCACATCTAGTTAGGCTTGCTTGTCTGTAAGGTAGGGCAAAATCAGTTTCCATAATTACATTTTGATTTGTGCTTTGGTATGTGTTGCACTGCCGTTATTTTCCATGTTGTGTCGATTCTGTCATGTTATTGCATAAGGTATGGTTTAAAACGTAATATGTTTTATATAAAGTGAGTGTGGTCACAGAATATATACAATGCCAATTAAAAGATGATAGAATAACTTTAAGTGCTTTACACACAGTAAATGTTGTTGAAATAATTTCCTTTGATAGATTCCCTCCTCAGGAGCTGCTTGTTTCATTTTTTTCCGTGAAATAACCCTCCACCCTCTACTTTTTCAAATAAAAACCAAGCCTTCCTGAAATACAGATCTGTGCCTTCACATTTCTTTTTTTTTTCACTATGCTTACCTGCTCACCGTGTCAGAATGATTATCTGAATGAATTAGTTGATCTTTGCAAAGCTAAGCACTCTAAAGCTGTCTTTAAAAACTCTCTGTATTGCTTAAAGTCAATCTCCTTTTAAAAGCCTACGTAATATCTCCCGGTAAAAATCCTAGCCTGTAGTTCTAGCCATGATATCTCAATATTGCTTTGTTGTATTCTGGGTATTTATTACTAACTTTAAGTCCTGTTCTGCATCTCAATGTTACCATCTTCCATCACGGATCTGATTGTATTATGGAAAGCTAAGCTGTAAGTTCTCTGGATGCTCTTTGTATTGCTTTTTAGCAGACTTTAGAATAGTTTTAAAGGAAAAAAGTACATCTACATATTTATTTTCAAATGTCTATGAACCTTTCATCCATGTTTATACCACATTCGGCATAATTAATTCGATTTGTTCTTCCTTCTGTAATGTAATGTAAATAAGTAATTGCAATGTTCTAGGATGTGCAAACTAGGTGTAAGGCAAAAAAAGTGTCAGGCAGCAGTGCATCAGTTCATTGAGTTTTTACTTTTTATATTGCAGATCAGCATAATGACTTTACGAATGTTTGAGCACCTTCTGCAAAAACCCAGTGAGCACATTCTTTATAATTTGGTTCTGAGAAATTTAGAAGAAAGAAACTACATGGAATATAAGCCTCTCTGTCAAGAAGATAAAGATGTGGTAGAGAACGGACAGATCCCAGGAGCAGTGTAAGTTTCTTTTTTTAAGGGAACTTTTCACAACAGCTAACTTGGATCCTTATTTTTAGAACAAAACAGGGCGTTTTGCAGTACCTGAAGGAAAAGGGAGTGTAGATAGCACTGTGCTCTATATATTCATTAATATCCATGAAGTTATGCGGAAATTATTTTATCAGCAACTTAAGGAAATTTTTACACTAGTAGCAGAAAAGCTAAAATTTTCAGAAGCCCCTTTCCAGAACAATAGGCCCTCAAAGGTCTTTATGTATCATTTTATTTAATGCATCTACCTAGCTGAAGTCTATGCATATTTGTATTGTTTTCAGGAGGATTATTCTTGAAGTGACACTTAGGTGTCTTGCTGACATTTATGTTCTTGAATCATTTTTTAATGAAAGAACTTTCCTGGGACACTTTACATAAAATCCTTTTAAATACCCTTTGCAACTCTTGTAACTCTGTTTTTTACTGTTGGAGGGGTAAGGACTGGTCACACCAGCTATTTTAGGCATCTTAATTTAGATATTTCTGAGTAATCTAAACTAATATAATGATTTCCTGGATTACTCTTTCATGTAAAAGATGTGGCTAAAGAGTTTAAGGAATTTAATGCAGCGATTTTGTACAAGTTAGAAAAGTCTGCTCTGTTGTTTAGATCGAGAAGTTACGATTTTTCTTCAAAACAAAGTTTGTTTGGTGTTTTAAAGATTGATATTTCTGCACATTAATTAGGGAAAAAGATGTGCGTATGACAGTGTTCTGGAAGTTGTTCAGAGAAGTAAAATAGAAAGCATACCTTTTGACCCAGAGATTTTCCTGCCTTCCATAGCATTCTGTGAATAATTATGCTTTCGTCTGATATAATCTCACAGAGACCTGGAGGAAGATCCGTTATTTACTGATCTGTCTCCAGATAACACGTTGTCAGCTCAAGAGTGGCTCAGTGCTTCTCCACCTGTCAGTCCAGAACATCCAAAAAATGATGGGAAGACTGAAGTTCATAAAATTGTAAATAGGTAAGTCAAAACAAACACTTGAAGGAATCTCTGTGTGGGTGTCCGCACACACTGTGCAAATTAAATGTGCTCTCTAATGGATGCTGTTCTGTGCCAGCTGGTAAAAGGACTTCACGTTAGGAAATTATGTGGCATTTTATTGGAAGACTGCTCCTGAAAGGTTAGAACTTACAGTAAGTAAAAATAATTCAACATAAATGAGAAAAATAGAAGAATTTTACAGCTAATAGTCTAGGTGAGTACTCAGAATTCATGGTGAAAGCCGCATTGATTATAAAACTTTCTTTTCTCAGAAATATTTCCTATAATTAAGCTGCAATTCCAGGACTTGACCTTCCTGGAGAAGTCCGAGGATTTTTTCCTAAGCATTTTAGAGGAGAAACACCCCCACACTTCCTGTAGTTCCTTAAACACATATCTAAAAGTAAATAATTGCCGTGCTAGAGATGACCTTCTGTTCCCTGAAAATCAAGGGGCAACTCTGTCGTCTGTAATGTACCCTTGTGTGCATTGGACATTCTGCAAATTGGATATCGCAAAGAGGACAGGCTCTGCCCTAAGCAACTTAGGGGTGGTAATTCTCTTAGCAACTAATATTAGGGCAAATGCTGTTGGCTCTGTTAATACACAGTAGCAAAGCAGCGCTGGTATTTCAGTGCTGACCTGTCCGCTTACCCAGAAATAATCGAAGGTGTGAGGCAAAGGAAGCAAACACCCAAGGACAGTCAGCAGAGAATGGCGTGGTCGCTTCTTGCCCTCTTTCCCCCAGTACTGCTATATATAGTTTCTGGTGGACATGGTTTGGAGCAAAGACACAAAGAACACTCCTCAAGTCACCTCATGTGATCTCCATCAGTGAATGGAAAAGTGATTTGGGATTTGCAGTGTTTTGCAAATCTATTTTTTCAGGTAAAATGAACTGTGTTCAAAAGGGTGGCTGCTACATATTTCTGCATATAAATCTTACAGGAACCTCCAGCAGTTCTTGAGGTGTGGAGAAAGCTGAAGTTTGGAAACAGAGTCCAAAAACTGAGTTTCATTTTGCTCACCAGAAAGTTAGATTTTTATATTTTTCTTAAGGATAGTTCCTCTCTAATAAGATTCAGAATTTCCTGATGCTTTTTTGGTTCGATATTGTTGAAGCAATAAGGACTTACAGTATTTGCACTACATACTTGGGCAAAGGCATTCGTATTTGTAACTGGGACATTTATATGCAAATATTTCTGTATGCTCTTAGGTCCTCATTTTTTACCACAACAAACTGTGGTAAATAAAACTGTCTGTGCAGTAGGTTAACAAGAATTTTAACTCTAAATCTCCTTCTCTTTTGGCTCCTTTATTCCCCAGTAAATTTTCCAAATGCCCTAGTAAGGTGGAGCCTGACCTTTAGCAAATACTTGGCCTGGTTATGAATGTTCCTTTTCACCTCCACTCTGTCTCCTGATTCTCCAAAAATGTTTCCACTGAGGTTTTTCCCTCTAGTGCTGGATACAGAAGTTCTGAAGTATATATCTTGCTGTTATGAATGGTAGTTAGAATAGATGCACTTAAATAGATTTTGTGTTCTCTATTCTTCACAGAAAGTTGCGGTGGGATCTGTGGATTAATTGGACAGACAATTCAGTATTGTGTACGCTGTTACAGATGATGAGAAAGTATTGATCTGGTGCTCTGTGGATTATAGATATTCATTGATGTATTTTTTTTTCCTTTTTAGTTTTCTCTGTCTTGTACCTGATGAAGCCAAGTCATCATATCATGTGGAGGGTACAGGCTATGATACTTACCTCAGAGATGCCCACAGACAAGTAAGTCAGTGAAGTCTTCCTTCATCCTTGAGAATTTGAAATGCTTATGAGAATATAGAAGTGATTCTATAAATAGTCCCACTAAATGCATCCTTTGGTGATGGAAGATGGGAAAATTCAATTTTATTTTCTAATGAAAACTTACCTTTGGAGATCTTTTGACAGTGAATCCACCTTATATTATTCTAGTGGGGAAAAAAAGGATGACATTAAATGCATTAGTATTCATATAACAAATACACTGAGAGAAGATCTGAACTGCAGATAGATTCTTAATTTGCTTTTGCATTTTGCTGTATTCTCTTGGAGAATTGCCTGCCAAGCTGTTTGAAAGGACTAAAGGGAAATTAAAGTGCTGCATAGGAGTTATGCAATCTGGGACTTCAGAAATAAAGGCTCATCACAGGGAATGCGCAGCCTAAGGCATTCAGGTTTGAAGTTGAGAGTTTT